CATCTGGTGAGATCGACCAACGAATCTCTTCTTCATGCACTTTCATACGAAATGAAGGTCCTCCTAACAAAAATGCTTGTAAAGGAAATTGGGTCCAATGGTCAGAAGTGGCCGAACGCATGGTAGAAACTGGACATGAAATAGAATAGTCTCAAAATAGTAGGTTTGCTGATTATGATACGTCCGCTTTTAAAAGAAAGATAAGAGAGGTTATTGAAATTTATAGATTAAGAAATACATTCCAGAATGTGAGGAATGGTGGTAGAATGTTTAGTAGGAACTATTTATGCTTGGTTGATGGATTGAAGGAAAGAAAGGGTGTTGAGCCGCCATCCAAAAGAAGGTGACTCAACTTGTCTGCCGGGGATGGTTCTACCTTCACTCACACTCGTCCAACATGTTAGATTAAGCTCATCAACCAAACCAGACGTGCCAGATTACGCAGCCCCAGTCATGCCTTTCCTTGGGGGTTAAACGTTATGGCCCTAGACTGAGAGGTTAGGTCAAGTGGTTTCGTAACTTGACTTACATGCTTAAAAGCTCATGTCTATTTATCTCAGCCATACTTGCTACCGGACTTACGCAGTCTTGGTCAGGGCTTTCTTTTCGGCGATTAGGCGTTGATGACCAAAGCCTGACATTATCCTTTTGATAACTCTGATTTAGGACCGGTGTTGCGTCTAGATGCTAACACACTCACATACACACGCCCACACACTCAAGCAAATGTAGCAGGACCAATATGAAAGATAATTAGCCAAACCACTCTATATTTATCTATCTATCTAGGTTTTTTATTTTATTTTGGCTTAATTGAGTCTATATAAGAGGTAAGATATAGTCGCATAGTGTTCTGGCCCTAGTGTTAACGTGAGACTTTTACAGGACTGACACTCAGCTCTGATGATGTTCAGCATATGATGGACGAAAGCTTAGCACGTTTTCACCCGAAACGAGGGAGGAGGCCTCGTCGACTGCGTAAACCTGAAAATCGTATAAAAATCAAAAGGCTGCAGTATAACGGGATTCATCCGTCCTCCTCTGGTGAGATCGACCAACGAATCTTTTCTTCATGCACTTTAATACGAAATAACAGTCCCCCAACAATGTTATCTCAAAAGATTAATCGAAACCCAGTTTCTCTTCTTATCTTTAAATACATGAATATTGAATTTGTTTAGCATTATGATAATAAAAGTATAACCATACCCGAGGCCACAACATCTTGGTCTTCACATCTTCAATATAACCTATCTTGTTTATATCTATATTAAATACTAATTGCTATCTATAAAGTGAAGTGACTAAATTTTATGCCTAACACTAACCTCTATTAAAAGTGTTAGAATCTTGCTGCAATGGTTCTATACGATCCTCAACGTAATGATCGCGAAAAGGCATAACTTCTGACGAGTACTCTGAGAGTTTATCTACCCCAGAGTTTCTAAGATCATTCGCTTGCTTTTGCTCAATGCTGATCGCAGTTTCTTCGGGTGATTCATTTGCTGACCATTCATCCTCCTCCACATACTTCTCAACGTCAAGGTCTTCAATACTTTCTTCCTCATTGTCATCATCTAGTTGTTCGTTGAATGCTGCTTCATATCCAAATTGAGAGCAATTTCTGAAGGAATATAAACAAGACATGCTTTGATTAGCCCCAGGATCTCCAGCTTTAATTTGCGATTCAGTAAAGTTCTTGGTCCTGTCATCATATTCTTTATCAGGTTGAAGATCGTTTAAACTGAATCCAAGAATAGGAGTATTTTTGCAAAATTGCTTTGTGAATTGGTCAACTTCAGGTGGAATTCCAATAAATAGCCGCTTAGCTACACAATAAAACAAGAAAAATATATAAAAATACATACACATAGAAATATGCAAAAATCGATATAGATCTTGAAAATGCGCAAGTATACAAGTATGCCTTTATTGTTGGCTTGACCCGATTTCCGTAAATTAATCGGATCGAGAGAC